GTTCGTAAAGCTGGAGCCCAACATCATCACCTACGGCACTGTGAACCGCGTGTTCGAGAAGAGCAGGCGCCAGCAGTGGCAGCAGGTTGTGGCGCTGCTGACCGAGATCCTGGTCGTCAAGCTGGAGCCCAACATCATCCCCTACGGCATCCTCAACAGCGAGTGCGAGAAGAGCAGGCGGGGCCGGCAGTGGCAACAGGCTGTGGCGCTGCTGAGCGAGATCCTGTTCGTGAAGCTGGAGCCTGACAGCATCACCTACGGCATGCTGAACATCGAGTGCGAGAAGATCAGGCGTCGGCAGTGGCAGCACACACTGGCGCTGCTGAGCGAGATCCTGTTCGCGAAGCTGCAGTTGGTTATCATCACCTACGTCCCTGTGAACAGCGCGTGCGAGAAAAGCAGGCGCCCGCAGTGGCAGCAGGTTCTGGCGTTGTCGAGCGAGACCCTGTTCGTGAAGCTGGAGCCCAACAGCATCACCCACGTCACTGTGAACAGCGCGTGCGAGAAGAGCAGGCGATAGCAGTGGCAGCAGGCAATGGCGCTGCTAAGCGAGTTGTTCGTCGTGAAGCTGGAGCCCAACATCATCACCTACGGCATCCTGAACAGCGCGTGCGAGAAGAGCAGGCGGTAGCGGTGGCAGCAGACTGCGGCGCTGCTGGGCGAGATGTCCGTCGTGACGCTGGAGCCCAACATCATCACCTACGTCCCGGTGAACAGCGCGTGCGAGAAGAGCAGGTGCCAGCAGTGGCAGCGGGTTGTGGCGCTGCTGCTGAGCGAGATCCTGTTCGCGAAGCTGCATCCCAACATCATCACCTACGGCATGCTGAACAGGTCGTGCGAGGGGAGCAAGCGTTGCCAGCGGCAGCAGTTGGTGGCGCTGCTGAGCGAGATGATGGTCTTGCAGCTGGAGCCCAACATCATCACCCACGGCATCCTGAGCAGCGCGCGCGAGAAGAGCAGGCGATGGCAGTGGCAGCAGGCAATGGCGCTGCTCAGCGAGATGGTGGTCGTGCAGCTGCAGCCCAGCATCATCACCTGCGGCACTCTGAGCAGCGCGTGCGAGAAGAGTAGGCGTTCTCAGTGGCAGCTGTCCTCGAGGGCCGGCGAGTGCGAGAAGAGCAGGCGTTGGCAGTGGCAGCAGGCAATGGCGCTGCTGAGCGAGATGGCAGAAGCGAAGCTGGATCCCACCATCACTTAGGGCACCCTGAACAGCGCGCGCGAGAAGAGCAGGCGTTCGCTGTGGCCGCTGTCCTCGAGGGCATTGGAAGAGAGTGCAGTGGCCGCGGCAGTGGCGGGGTGGGAAGTGATGGTGAGCACGACGACGGCAGTGGCAGCGCGAGGTCGAGGGGGGAGAAGCGCGAGGGAGAAGCAGAGGATGAGGAGGCAAAAGACATGAAAAAACTTCTTCACTCCGGCTTCTCCTGGGTGTGGCCGTGACCCGGCCTTCCAGCGGGCAGCCTTTTGCAGCCGTTAAGGTTCTGTGCGGTCGCGGCTGGGTCGGGTGTGGTCTATCCTACTTGGCTCCTGGCGTTGCCAACAGGTCCACAGGTGTCTTCGCACAGGTGGCACACCCTGGATGACTGTTGGTCGTGCGTCGCATCCGCTGGCGCCGCCTTCATTGTACGGTGTCACTCGCCATTGGCTGCGCACGAGCACCCTGGGGACATATTTGGCATTGGGTGTGGTCCATCCTGCTCGGTTGCATTGCTATGTGTCCACAAGTTTTTGCTATGCTATGCAAGGACTACGGTGCACATGATTGCTCCTGGGACGCAGGTTTACCTACCTTTGAGCGGTCACTTGATCTGTCGGTGTGCGACGCTTCGGCTGGCGCCTTTTCAGATGTCGCGCCATTTTGGCAGCGCGTGTCAGGTTTGGCTAATTTGGTGCTCCTTGGGATTCCCTGGGTCACCTTGCAGCTCTGCCCTGGGTTCAGCTCCCCCTGGGATCAGCCTCGCCCTCGCCGCAGTTGCTGCTTGCTGCATGCGGCGCCGCCGCGGCCGCCTAGTCGCGCGCGTTAGCCGTCGGTAATTTAAGCTGGTCGCGGCCCGACCTACTTCGCCCGCTGCTGGCGCGTTCGCCTGCGGCCGTAAAAAAATACCCCCACCTGCCCATCTAAAAACGACGTCCAGGCGAGTTGAGAGGTGATCAGGGAAGTGCGGGAGCAAATCGGGGAACGGCCGAACCGTGTGAAGGAGAGAGGGGGCCAAGGAGAAAATTTGATGGATGGATGAGGGAGTAGGGAGAAGGAGGATGAATAGGATGATGAGGGGGAAGGGGCGGAGGGGAGGAGGAGGATGAGAAGGGATAAGAGGATGGAGAAGGAGGAGGAGGAGGAGGAGGAGGCGGAGGAGGAGGAGGAGGAGGAGGAAAGCAAGCGAAAGGGCCAGAGGTCTCTTGGATGCTTCTCGGAACCTCTTGGGGTGTCTCTTGGGCGTCTTGGGACGTCTTGGGAGTCTCTTGGCGGTCGTGGGGGATTCTTCGGCCTATTGGTGCCATCTTGGGGCCATCTTGGGACCGCTTGGGGCCTCCTGGGCGCTTCTTGGGGCCATTTTGGAGGAGATCGACCAAACAAGAGGGGAGCTTTAATTAGAGCCCCCCCAAAAGGCCAATATGGGGCCAAAACCTGGGTAAAACCAATGCTTGTGCCGTTTTGGACGCTCCGACACCTCGCGGACCCCCCTGTCCAAGTCCAGGGGAGGGGGTAGGAGACGCCCTCCCCGCCCGCAAGCAGTCTTGCTCACTCCCACTCGCCTTCCCAACACATACGTAGCACCCGAACCTGGCCCGAGCCACAGCATATGCAGCAGTTGTCTTTGGATGGCCAGATACTGGGGGCCAATCCGCCGCCGCTGCCGCCGCCTCCGCCGCCGCCGCCGCCCGCCGCCGCCGCCGGCGCCGCGCCGCCGCCGCCGCCGCCGCCGCGGTTGTCCGCCGCTGCCGCTGCCGCCGCGCTGCCCGCCGCCGCAGCCGCCGCCGCCGCCGCCGCCCCCGCTGCCAAATCGCCGCCGCCGCAGCCGCTGCCGCCGCAGTCCGCCACCGCTGCCGCCGCCGCCGCCGCCACCGCCGCCGCCGCCGTCCCCGCCGCCGCCGCCGCAGCCGCCCCCGCCGCCGCAGCCGCCGCAGCCGCCGCCGCCGCCGCAAGTGTTTTTCGTTGTGTTTTTTTGACAGGGATGGTGGGGGGGCCGCATCGGGTTCGTCGCGCATGCTTCGGATTTGGAGACAGAGTGTGTGTTCTATTGTTTGTTACAAGGGATGGCTGTGGCAGAGTATGTTGTGTGTTTTTTTTTCATTTTAAAAAATAATCCCGGCAAAGCAACCTAACAGCGATGTGTAGAAGCATAGCTGGAAACATTGCCTGTGGTATTCATGCAAAAGTGCTGTTGTAGAATTCTGGTGTTCTCGCAGTCGCATTCGGATTCGCAGTGGCAGTCGCAGTGGCAACATCAGCGGCAGTCGCAGTGGCACTGCCAGTAGTTGCAGTAGCAATGACTACACTAGCAGCAGCAACAGCAGCAGCAACAGTAATAGCAACAGTAGTAGTAGCAGTAGAAGTAGTAGTGATGGTAGTAGTGGTAACAGTGAAGTAGTACTTGTAGTGTGTGGAGTGAACGAGTAGGAGTGATGGGAGCAGTGGTAGTAGCAGTAGAAACACTGCTTTCGATAACGGTATATCCAAATGAGATCTTTGTATACATGCATCGAGGTCTAAACAAGACACTGCTATCAACGGATGTGATTCCAAACGAGACACTGCCAGTTCCTTTGAAAAGGAAATCTTCGAAAGCAGGGCTGTAGCCAAGATGGCTACGGGGACGATGGTGATGATGAAGATGATGAGTCTTGAAAGTCTGGGAAGTGGAAGAGCACGAAGTGGCGTACAGTTGGCTCCAGGCATTAAACATGTAGCCCGGGAGTGGAGTTCTGGGAAGTGGAATAGCACGAAGTGGCCTAAAGTTGTCTCCGGGCATTCAAAATGTGGCCCGGGAATGGAGTTCTGGGAAGACCAAGAGCACGAAGTGGCCTACAGTTGGCTCCGGGCATCCAAAATGTGGCCCGGGAATAAAGTTCTGGGAAGTCGAAGAGCACGAAGTGGCTTACAGTTGGCTCCGGGCATTTAAGATGTGGCCCGGGAGTGGTGTTCTGGGAAGTCGAAGAGCACAGTTGGCTCCGGGCATTTAAGATGTGGCACGGGAATGGTGTTCTGGGGGGTCGAAGAGCACGAAGTGTGCGACTGTTTGCTTAAAACGAGCCCGGCCCTGAGCCCGGCCCTCGCTGTCCGGCTCCCGCCCAGACCCCCTGTGGAGTCATTTGCTGCTCTCTTTTGACCCCATTAGAAACCGAGCATTCGCTGTTAGGTAAAAACAAGGGATGGAGGGCGGGGGGCCCTCATGGACATGGGTTGGCTCCCGGTCGCCTGGGGGAGGGGGTGTATACTAATAGGGAACAGTGATAAAGCCCTCCCCGAAGGGGAAGAAGGAGAGGTGGAAGAGGAAACTCCCTCAACCACCGACGCCCAGAGAGCTGGTGTGATTGCCTGTCTATCCGGGGAGGACGCATCGTACCAGAATGGCATTGTGCACCCCCTTGTGGATGGCGGACCCTGACCATTTGCGAGTAGCTATTCTGCGAGTGGTGGGACGCGCGTGTCCATACCAGGAAGACACCTCGTACCAATGCGGCCTTGCGCACCGCACTGGAGGAGGGTGGATCCAAACCATTTGCGCATAGCTGCTCGGCGAGTGGTGAAACACGCTCGTCTATCCCAGGTGGACACATCGTACCAGCAGGACCTTGCGCACCTCCCTTGAGGCCGACCGGATTCAGAAGCGAACCTTGCGGGCCACGGTCCAGCGCCGCAGCGACGCGGCGGGCCGCGCGCGGTGCCTGGCTTCTCCCAGACGCGCGAGCGGAGGGGCTTGCGAGCCGCCGGGGGGGGGGGGAGGGATCCGCCGCGCGCGAGCCGCCGTGCCCGCCGCGCGCCGCCACCGCGGCCGGCGATGGCGCCCAAGAAGAAGGCCGCCCGGGACGATCGCAAGGGGTGCGAAGGTCGGCGGCGAGCGAGGGGAAGGGAGCAGAGAAGGGGCCTGGCGTGCTCCCGAGGCCCGCTCCGCTCTGGGCGGCGCCCCCGCGGGGGCGCGGGGCCGAGTTCGGTTGTTGCTTGGAGTGCCCCTGGCCCAAGGCACCCCCAGGATCCTCGGGGCGGCCCAAGCGGCCTCCAGAGCACCCCTTACGAGGCCCACAGGGCCCCAGGGGCTCCAAGATGCAGGGAAACGCTGGGAGCACCTCGGGCCTGGGGCACATCTAACAACACCCGACGAGCGGAGAGGGAGCGCGCGGGAGCTGGCTGCTCGGGCTGGGAGAGAGGATCGGTGGCGCGCCCGGAGGGGGGGAAGTGAAAAGGGGCGGGCCTTCTCAGACGGCTCGGAATCGACTACGCGTAAGAGTGACCTTTCGCCGGGGTGACCTGTGGTGCGGGCCCACGGGGGCCCCCCGATCGCCGAACGCGATGCGCTAGTTGCGTCTCGCGCGCTCGTTTTTTGGTCCCCCCCGCGGCCCCCCAAAAGCCGCGCACCAAAGGTCACTCTTACCCGGGGTCACTCTTGCGTGTAGTCGACGGCAGTCCCCCGGCCTTCTGGGAAGTTTTCTGAGCCGTCCCCGAAGGTACAGACAGCCTCTCAGAAGGCTTGCTCCTCCTCCTCATTTCCCCCGGTCGCTCGCCGCCGATTGAGTGCAGACGGACTGACGTATAAGATCGAGGTCGGTTCGAGGAGGGTGGCCTAGTGCTGTTCGTGTGTGTTGGATGTTCATGCGCATCCTGGGGGAGGGCACCCTCGAATTTCCTTCAGTTTGGGCCGTCGGAGGGTCTCATGCTCTTGAAGGATGGTCTTCTGTCCCAGGTCCGACTGCGCACAAAGCGTGGGCACAGAGTCCGGCAGCAGTTCCTGCCCGTTTTGGACAGGATCCGCTGTCGGTGTCTCCGCGGACGTTGTCCACTTGAGGCGGACGGCCGGCTGCCCAGCAGCGGCCGCTGTCGTTTTGGGGCAACTTTTGTTGTTGGGCATCGCACCCCTGCTTCAGCATCGTTTAACCGATCCCTGTCCCCTTCTCCGTCCCCGTCCAGATCCCCACCTTCCGACCACCCTAGTTGGGGATCTTCCTCTCGAAACTTGCAGGCAAAAGCCTATACCCCCATCCTCCATCCCCGTCCAGATCCCCACCTTCCCACCACCCTAGTTGGGGATCTGCCTCTCGAAACTTGCAGGCAAAAGCCTATACCCCCACCTAGGGGGACGAATCGGCCACTGGGGCCCAGGCCACGCCCGTGGGGATGGGGATTGATCAAAGGATGCTCAGTGTATTCCGTACCCACTTCGGGCGTGCAAGAAAGCAGGCCGGCGATCGCGAAGGCGACGGCGCGCGGCGCCCGTCTCGGCTGCGCGCGCCTGGGCCCCCCGGAGTGGGGTCCGAGCTGGTGGGTTCGGGGGATCGCGCCGCATCGCGGATGCATCGGCCAGGCGGCTCGATGTGGAGCCCGAACCTTCTCCACGCCACTTTCGCCGGCCGATGCCTCGCCGGCGTCGCCGGTGCATCGCCGATGTATCGCCGATGCGGTTCGATCCTCCGGCCCCACCTGCTCGAGCCCCAGCCAGAAGGCCTCCAGTGGGAGAGCGGCTCTGCGTGGCTGGAGCGGCCTTCTGGGGGGGGGGCTCTCACAGGAGGAGGAGGAGGAGGAGGAGGAGGAGGAGGAGGAGGAGGGGGTCTCCCAGGCGCTGGCTGATGGGTAGCCTATTCGAGTCCGAGGCTCGTGGGGGCTTGATGAGCCGTTTCGTTCCTTAGTCGGCATTCGTTGTCGTGGTTCGATGGTTGTGCTCGTCCACCTTCCCCTGGGACCCGTTCTGTGCATGCGCTACTTGGAAGCCATGCCCACGCGATGCACCGCTCCGCGCTGACCTGGCCAGCACTGCAAAACAAAGGAGTCCAGAGAGGGCAAACCTAACCAATGCAAACTTGTGTTCGATTTGAAATCTCTGGTATATGTATATTATATAGGTTTGTATGCATATATGTATAAACATATATACATATATAATAGCTGCACATCTATAGACCTGTTATATATAAATGTGTGTGGGTCGCCGCAAAACCATTACCGCGCGTACACATTGTGGATACAAAGCGTGTCTTGGTCTGGCGCGTGTGAATGAGAAGCCACTTATTTTTTAGTTGAGGGCTGTGTCGCAGGGTTCATGCCAAAGTTCGGGGCCCCCGTGCATTGTGCAAGGATGGGGGGATTTCCCAAGCAGCATTCACACTGACAGTGTCTTCGCGGATCTTTGAAGATTATGCGAAAGTGCTGGGCCGATTTCGGGGGCCGCCAGATACCCGGTTCCAGCTCTTGCGTGTCGGGTATTGTAAGGATGTGGCCTGAGTTTGTCGCCAATTTCGGTGGGCAGCCAGGTTTCCAGATTGTTCGTGCCTGGCCTTGGTGAGAACTTCATTGCAAATGCCAGTAGGCGGCCAGGTTCCCATTAAAAGGCGCGTGATGCGCGCGCGCGGCTTCGCCCTCGTCGCCGCCCGCCTTTCGCCACGGCGGCCGTTTGAGTATGCGTTCCCACACCCGCGGCTAGAGATTGACGTTGCCCACTCATGGCGACGCTCGCTTCTCCTCCTCCTCTTCCTCCTCATCCTCCTCCTCCTCTTCCTACTCCCGTCTCCGCTAGCGGGCGAAAATACGCTTCCTCGTGCCCTCGAGGCTCGCCTGCCGCGGATCCTGCGCCGGGCGCCCAGCCCGAGCGGGGCCGTCTCCGTAGGGAGGTCTTTCCTTGCGTCCGCCACGGTTCGGCGTGGAGTCGTCGTGGGCTCGTCGCGGGCTCTGCGCGGATTCGGCGCGACTGGGCGTGGATTCACGGATTCGACCAGATTAGCGATGCGATCGGATTGACAAGGTCCCCCAGATATGCTACATGTGGATGTCGTTGTTTATCCGTTGGGCCATAACGCGCGTTATGCCCCCCCCTCTCCCCCACCCCCCATGCCGTAACGCCCCCCCCCACACCAGTACACTGGCTAGTGCGTCCCTGGCACTGTCGCAGTGCGTCGGGCACCACCGTTTGTGGTACCGGGCTCACACTGACAGGGCGGGAACGTTACGTTCTGCCCCCCCCGACCCCCCCCCCCCCTCCCCCCATCACGCCCGCTACTTGGCATTGCCCGGACGTGCGCAGTTGGTTTGGCGCGGCCAGCGCCAGGAAATCTCGCCTATCCTGGAGCATCTCGGACCCCCTCGAGGAGCAAAACGCGCACGAGACCGAACGGTGCACGGGGAATGGACGCTCCAGCGATAGCAAGGCGATCGCCGCGATTCCCTTTTTTCGAGGGGCGAGCAGCATCGCCGCTTCGCCACCCGGGGCGCGGGGTCGGCGCTCCCCTCGGCGGGGGCGCCCAGAGCGCCCACCGCCACCCGACGGGGCCGCTCTGGGCGGCCGCGGGTGCCCCCCTTTGGGCCGCGAGAGGGTCCGCCGCGAGAGTTTCGATGCAGAGAGGTGCGCTCCTCGAGGGCGCTGAGCAGAAGACGGGGCTCCTCCGGCCCCGGCGAGCCCCGGCCGCGCATGGGATCTCCGGCCGGGGTCTGCGGGGGAGCGGCCCGAGACGTAGAGGCCCCCTTGGATGGGGTCGGAGTACTCCAGATTTCGTAATAAAGGGAGGGGGGTCTCATTTCGGGGGGGGGTCTCTTCCAGGCTATCTTGGAGGGCCTGGGGGGTCTGGGGACGATGTTTTGGAGGGTTCTCCCACGGGGGAGGCCTGAAATCGCTTGTCTTGGAGGGTCGGGGCGTTGACCTAAGGAACCCTAAATATGGAACGAGGCCCCTTTTTTCCACAAGTTCAACTTCGATCACCCATCGAAAACCTACGGGAAATCCAAGGCAAGCTGCGAAACACTTAAGGAACGCGGAGCCCCTCCCCAACGAAAAGGGTTCCTTCTTCAGCGCCCCGACTGCACCTGTACAGGCACGGATTCGCTGACGCCCTGCAGTGGGTTGGTCCTGTGCCTGAGGGGAGGGTGGCGGAGCACGGACGAGCACTGGGCGCCGGCGACTGGAGGCACCGCCGCCCTCGCCGAAGGCGCGTGCAAGCTTCGTCAGAGAGCGTCCGTACGCAGGAAGGTTTCCGTGGCGCAGAGGGGCAGCCACTCCAGAGCCGCCGGCGTCACGACCTCGGGCCTCCCCCACGTCCCCGCCCCGCCGCGGGCGAGTTCGCGCCCCCGAGGTCCCAGTGTCCTCGAAGCAGGAAGCCGGTCGTATGCTCGTTCGGGGGACGGGCCTGGGGGCCACGCGGGTCTGTTGGACGCCAGTTCGACTCTATTTCCCTTCCAGTTCCACTCGGGTTCGACTCGGGTTCGACTCGACTTCGCCTCGAGTCGGCGGACGTTCGACGCCGCGTCGGCGCACGAGCGGAGCGAGCGGCTCCAGGGAAGGTCCCCCGGGGAGGAGCGTCTGAGGGAGCTCGGGCACGACGCCCCCGGGCCGGGCTGCCCGGAGGCACCCCTGATCGAGGACGGGCGCCCCCCGTCGTGCAGCCCCGAGATGGACAAACCTCTCTTTAGTAAACCTCCCCTTCGCGGGGGGGCGCCACTTCCCTTCGCGGGGGGGGCGCCACTTCCGCGGGGCCTCTTCCCTTCGCGGGGGGGCGCCACTTTCCGCTCCACACGATCTTCGGCGGGGACAAACCTCCCTTTAGTAAACCTCCCCTTAGTGAAAACGGCCTCAAACCGAAACCGACGGACCTGGACCCGCAAAAATGACGGCCGCGACGCCCTCTCGCTAACCGAAAACGGCCAATTCCTTGATCGACGCGTCAGGGTAGGAGGTCCATCATGCGGGCAGCAGTTATATCCACAGCCAGTGCGTCTTGGAGCTTTGGGCGCTCTTCCCCAGGAGCCGGATGCGCACTGGGTATGGACAAAGATCTTGCCCCAGAAGGTGTTTGATTTTTGTCTGTGTCCAGTGTGGCTCGGCCTTGCGGCACCCCTTCCCGACAGGTCCACGACGCTCTGGATATGGATAGAAGTATTGCCCGCAGAGATGGGCCCAGACAGGACGGTGCATGGCAGTCCGGGGGCCCCGCCGAGTCACGGACTGGGTGCGCCAGCCAGGCAAGACGCGGGAAGAAGGACCAGTTTGGGCTCGGGAGGGTCTCATGCGGTTTTCTGGTGCTCCCAGAAGGGGTGGAGTAAACGGGGTCGGGGGATCGCGCCGCACCCCCGATGCATCGGCGACGTGGCTCGAGGCGGAGCCCGGTTTTCTCCACGCCGACGTCGCCGATGCGTCGCCGACGTTGGAGATGCAGCGCCGACGCAGCGCCGATGCATCCTCCGATGCATTGGCGATGCGGCGCGATCCTCCGACCACAGCTACTCCAGATTTCGTAATAAAAGGGAGGGGGTCTGGACCCTCCAAGGCAAGCCATTTCAGACCTCCCCCGTGGGAGAACCCTCCAAAACATCGTCCCCAGACCCCCCCAGGCCCTCCAAGATAGCCTGGAGGAGAACCCCCCCGAAATGAGACCCCCCTCCCTTTATTACGAAATCTGGAGTACTCCGACCCCATCCAAGGGGGCCTCTACGTCTCGGGCCGCTCCCCCGCAGACCCCGGCCGGAGATCCCATGCGCGGCCGGGGCTCGCCGGGGCCGGAGGAGCCCCGTCTTCTGCTCAGCGCCCTCGAGGAGCGCACCTCTTGCCTGGGCATCGCTCGGACGTGTGCTTTTTTCCTTCGGCGGGGGCCATCGAGGAGCATCCTTGAACATTTGGCGAAAAAGCCAGGCACGAAACCGAAAAAGCACAGGGAACGGACGTCCGAGCGATGGCAAGTTGCAGCCGTGAGCCCTCGGCGCTGTCCTCCTTCGGGGCCGCCTCGCGGCCCTGCGGGGCCCCTCTTAGGCCCAGGCTGGCTGCAGAAGGGGCCACCCCCCCTCGCAATCGACCGCAACGCAAGCGCGGCGCATCCCACAGCGCGCGCTGGTTTAACCGAGGAGGAGGGGGGGGGGTCCGACCGGGTGGGGTTTGTTCTGCCCCAGGATTGGCCCCGAATACCAGCCCAAACCCCAACACGTCCGGTTCGAATTGTTGTTGAATGTTCTTGAATACATGTCCTAAACAATGGAACTCTTCACCACGATTGACACGAATCCGAGGATGTCCAACAGTATTCCCGGCCCCCTGGGGGTAGGTTTTTGGCCACGATGCAGGATTTGGTCAGATGTCATCGCGACGCGGCCTGGCAGTGCCAGACCTCATCGTGGTTGCCCTCGACGGCGTCTGTTTCCGCAGCGCCTTCGTGGTGCCATTCGGGGCGTTCGAATCGAACTGGCGGAATTCCGCGGTTTCCCGCTGGCGGCGCTAAGAATCTTTCGAGGCGCGTCTCGCCGATCGTTGATGCTGCGCGACAGCAGCGGCTTGCGCGGTTACGTTGGGCCCCCACGGGCGCCCCCTGATGCCGCGCACCAAAGGACACTATAGTGTAGTCTGGGGTATCTCTGGCGTGCATCCAAGGCGTGGCCGACGAAAATGTGACATCGCAAAAAGTCACGACCTTTCCGAGCCGGATCGATCTGTGAATGTCCCAGGGCCCGAAGTCAGTCGCGCCTGGCGTCCAAACGGCGTATTGGCAGATCATTTGTTCGTGCAGGACTGCGGGGGAAGGGAGGAGGAGGAGGTGGAGGAGGAGGTGGAGGAGGAGGAGGGAGAATATCACATCCACATTCCAAGTGAATGCTCTAGATGAGTCGGTGGCGGGCCCGAGCCGCCGCCGCGAGCGCGCAGGCCGCCGGCGCGAAGGCCGCCGCCGGGAAGGCCGCGGGCGCGAAGGCCGAAGCCGCGAAGGCGGACCGCGCACCGCTCCCGCGCTCTTTGTCGGGGGCGGCCAAGACGGGGGTGATGTTTGCATCTCTTGGCAGGGGCCATGATTCATCGAGAGTCAAAGAACCCCTGACCCTTATAACACGGTGAAGACTTGGCCTCCCTGAGGTCCACGTTTTTGCATTAGGGGTAACAGATCTTGGCGGCTTGCAGAGATCATCCCTATTGTTTTCGGCCTCCTAACTTCGGTCGCCTCCCAAAAGGTTGGGGTTCCTTCTGTTGCTCATCAATCATGGCGGTGGCCATGATATCTCCCCGGATTTCATGGCCCCCTCTTCTGCTTCTGCTTCTTGTTTCTGTTAGTATTTTCCCAATCAGCGTTTGTGCACTGAAGGGGTCCTGGCGGACATTGAAAGATTTGGCGAATGTTTTCCGCCGATTTTGGTGGCCGGCTGGATTCCCGGGTTCCTGGTTCTGGGTTCCCCGGTTCTTGGTTATTGATTCTGGGCCGATTTCTGTGGGCGGCGGGGTTCCCGGGTTCTTGGGGTCTTGGTCGATCTTCGTATCGATAGGTCTCACCATCGATCTTATTACCCACCTCTCTATCGATCTTACCATCGATTGATCTCACAATCGATCTCACTATCGATTTCAAAAGCGATCTCACTATAGACCGCACGAGCGACCTCGCGATCGATCTCACTATCGATCTCATTGAATCGACTTCATTCTCGGTCTCACGATCGACCTTACAATCGTCCTCCCTATCGATTCCACTATCGATCTCATAATCGATCTCAATATTCATATTATTTTTCAAACCGTCCACTGATTGGGTTTGTCTCTGGTGTTATACTCGTATGATCATTTGTATTATCCTTACTCTTCTTCTTCTTATTTTTTTTATGTTTCTTCTTCTTCTTCTTCTTCTCTCCAGGCGTCCCCTGCCCCCCCCCCTGGTCCGCACACGTGCTTCCATCTTGGAAACCCGATCTCCCATATCTAACCCCCCCGTCTTGGAGCCCCCCAGCAGTCGGACCGTGATCTGCGAAACCCCCTATCCTGGACGCCCCCCCTTCGTGGACGCCCGGGACCGCGGCGGCGCGCCCTTGCCCGCTTCTTCGTCGGTTCCCGGCGGCTCTCCAGCCTCGGGGGTGCCTCCCAGCAGCTGCGCCTCGCCGAGGGCGCTCCCCGGGGTTGCCCGAGGGCCCTCCCCGCCCGAGCTCGGGGGCCTCTCGCCGCTCTATCGGCGACGCATCGCCGATTCCAGCTCGGTGCTTCCCCCTCTGCACCAGCGGCCCTTCTCGCTGCCCCTTTTTGAGCAGAGGGGCAGTGGCGCGCCGCCGATGGCGTGGCCGTGGGCGTGGGAGCCTAGGGGTAGGCGGCGGGCTTCGAGGGTCGAGAATCGATGTTCGAGGATCGAGGGTCGAGGGTCGAGGGTCGAGGAAGAGTGTCGGGTGGGCGTTCCAGGGACCCTCCCATGGGGCCCACCTGACGGATCTGTTCCAGTCCAGTTCGATTCCAGCTCGACTCCAGTTCTGCTCAAGTTCGACTCGAGCTCGACGCATATGTCGACGGACGTTCGACGCAGCATGGACGCAGTAGTGGAGATGGTGGGTCCAGGAAGGTCCCCAGATCGAGCATCCGGAGAATAGTTATCCGTGACGCGCCGCCGATGGGAGCCCAGCAGCATGTTATCCCCCACCTTCTCTTGCGTCGTGACGACGTCACGGAGGGAGGTCGTTCCTTGCATCCGCCACGGGATCGACGTGGGTTGGACGCGGATTCGGAGCGGATTCGACGCGATTCGGCGTTGATTCACGGATTCGACCAGACTAGCGATGCGATCGGACAGACAAGGTCCCCCGGATATGCAGCAAAATTAGTTGACATCTTCGTTGTGCGACCACAAGACGGAACTTGTGCGGTTGATTTTAGCATTGTTGGTCTCTGGGGCCATCCTGACTTGGGATAGGATTATGGGGTTGGGGATATGAGTATACACAGGTATAGGGATTGGGATCGCAATAGGGATAGGGACAGGGATATACGACAATAAGACAGGGGGCCCAAGGGCTAGGACGAGGCAGACGGACAGAGATGTGGATAGGGTTGGAGGCATATTGATAGGTAGAGGAATAGACAACGGGACGCAAGGGGGACAACCAGAGATCATGGTAGGCAGCTGGAGACATCATCGCCCAACCGATTCAAGATTCAGCAGCGCACTAACTGGTTTCTTGGACTATGTATATATACACACAGAGATATGTATGTGTATATCTAGATGTACATATGTGTATATTTCTATACAAGAACACACACATACACATACACATACACATACACATACACATACACATACACATGCGTATATACATAGAACCCTTGCAGACCAGCTTTGCAGGGAGTTACGGCGGAGTTCTGATCCTGGCGAGCCCTTAGGATTGTGGGAGGAAGGCGCTCGGTGCGGACCTGTAGGGTTCTATACCCGAGCGGTTGCAGCGGCTGGAGCATGCCACCAGGTTGCAGTATATCACTGTCCGCCGCCGAGCGGCTGGCAACACGCAGGTCCGCGCGAAGCGTCTCCTGCGCGGGCCTGCGGCGCGGCGGCTCCACGGCCCAACCCTCTGTGCAGACGCTCGGCCAACCAGCCTGGCTCCGAGCTGCGCAGAAGGAAGGACGCGTCTCGCAGGCGGAGGGCATATCCGTATACGCGGCCCCGCGGGCCGGGCCCCTGGGCCGCGGCCCCGCACAGATGCGGGGCGCTCTGCCGCGGATGCCCGCGCGGAGCGCACCCGTACGTCCGCGTATCCACGGGGCCGCGCCCTGGAGTCCAGACCGCGAGGGCGTGGGATGCAGTCAAAGTGGTTGACAGCAGGGATGCGCGTGAAGGCTGCGAGCCCCTCGGACGCCCGTGTTTTGCCGCTTTTCCGGGCGCGGCGGGCCATCGAACGTGGCCAAGGATGGACCAGAGAGGCGCGGACGCAAGGTTTGGGGAAGCGAGAAGGTACTCCAGATTTCGTAATAAAGGGAGGGGGGTCTCCTTTCGGGGGGGGGGTCTCTTCCAGGCTATCTTGGAGGGCCTGGGGGGTCTGGGGACGATGTTTTGGAGGGTTCTCCCACGGGGGAGGTCTGAAATAGCTTGTCTTGGAGAGTCCAGACCCCCTCCCTTTTATTACGAAATCTGGAGTACCGATACCGATGCTCCCCGGACCTCTCCCCGGAGGCGACCTGACGAGGATTTCAAGGCGAATCCGAAGATGGCGACGAGGGCCTCCCAGGAATCCCCCAAAATGGGAAAACGGGCGCAGGGTGGTGGTATCGGTGCCTTTTCTTCTCTGAAGGGTGCATTTGGGAAGATTGCCCGTCCTTACCCTCGGCTTCGACTGCAGGGATGCGTACGCCCTCCGTGAGGTGCGGTCGGGCTCGGCTTCGGGGCCTGGCGCCCTGCGCCGTGTGAGCAGTCCGTGGCCTGCGTCCCAGCACGCATCCAGTCGTGGGCCCTCCTCCGCCCTCGAGGCGTCGGGAGCAGATCAGAGGGCCAAGCAGCGCAGTGAGTTTGACCACGCCCAGCAGACCTGGTCCCACTTGGCTTGATTCGAAGGAGGGAAAACGTCATGACCAAAAACTGTCGGAGCTCCGCGCGGATTTTCCGGATCTGCGCTGGGGCCCCCTAGCGGCGCCTCTGGTGCCGCCTCTGGCGCGCTCCACGCGCCAGGGAGGGGGGCCCAGCGCAGATCCAAGAAATCCGCGCGGACCGTCGGCAGTTCATGTGGCCGTGTTTTCTTCCCATGCTGATGGCGTCGCCACTGCCTCGGCCACGACACGATGCTCCCACGGCCCTAGGCACGTAAGCTCGCTGGGTCAACGGCATGCCGAGTCGCACGGATGGAGCGCGCGTATTCGTTTGAGACACGTTATGAGCGGAGGAGGAGGAGGAGGAGGAGGAGGAGGAGGAGGAGGAGGACGGGGAGGAGGAGGAGGAGGAGGAGGAGGAGCCGGCAACATTGCAATCGTGTTTTTGACGAATTTGGTGACCAGCAGAGTTGCAACGCTGAACCGGCCAAACGTTAGCATCCTCGAGAGGTTACCGGCTCAACCGTCGCATTCAGACGATTGCGCCACGCAGAATGGTATCCCCGAGGAGCGCAATTTTGATTAGGTGATGGCTGTCAGAAATCAACGGGCATACGCATTGCACAAACGACTGCGCTGCAACGAAACAAGCGACCGACCATATTGTATTCCAACTTAGAGCAGAAGCCATGCCATTGCAACCATTCTGGCCACAAACGATTGCAATGCAATCGTTTGGGGCCTCACCTCCCAGAAAGACTTGCGGTATCGACCACGTCCAGCCCTTGGGAGTGACCTGTTGCCAACATTGCTTGTGTACTCCATCATCCCCTTCCCCCTCTGCTATACTGGCACAGCCGACCTCGCGGTTCATGACCCACGTGGTTACCCTCAGGCGTTTCTGTCACAGGCTCCCGGCCCTGTTGCTAGAGGCCTTCTGCATGTTTAGCACGCTGGATCGCCGGGCCCGAGCGGGCCACGACCGCATACGGGAGGGATAGGATGTCTGATGAGGCGCAAGCGCGCCTAGCTTTTCCTCCTGGCCCTCTCCTTCCCAGGAGGGAGGAGGAGGAGGAGGAGAAGGAGGAGGAGGAGGAGGAGGAGGAGGAGGGTGGGGGGGGGGAGGAGGAGGAGGGGGGGGGGAGGAGGAGGAGCAGGAGGAGGAGGAGGAGGAGGAGGAGGAGGAATCGGAGGAATCGTGGGCGTCCAAAAGGGGGGCGATGACTACAATGGCGTGGTCCAAGCTTCGCCCAATTTTGCCACTGCGGCGCTCCTGGGCACGACGCATTGGAATGTCGAAAGACGCGGACGAACGCCATCCCGGACGAAGCGCTCACTGCGTTTTTGTTTCGGACCGAGTGCGAGTTTGCTTCGAACCAGCTTTACGAGGAAGTCTCGCACGGAACGCTCACTGTTCTACTGCTTCGACCCGGGTCCGAACATGG